TTTAATTAAATAGGTTTGAAATTTTACTTCTATTCGTTTCACATAGAGTGATGTTTTTTTAGAGAGGAAATACATGAAGTCAAAAGGTGAATTTGTTTTAGATATGTTGAGCATATAAGCCTTGTTTGGCAGTTGGAAGTTGACTGTTTGTGTCAGCAGTTCTGAATGATTATTTTCTTAGCTAGTTTATTTGACCGGTTAGATGTGCTGGTTATTTTTTAAAAAATATAATATTTAGTAAAATTAGCTGTTGGAATATATATATATATATATATATATATATATATATATCAAATTAAATATTATATATATATATATAATATTTAGTAAAATTAGCTGTTGGAATATATATATATATATATATATCTGTGTGTGTACAATATTTGTTTTTCATTTTTGTACATGTACAAATTAAATCTTTCATAAATGGATTATTAAATTTCACTTTCATATGTTCTCTCCGTCCCTAAAAACCTACGGAGTATATTTTTTTTCATTCGTGCCAATTTTTTTCTCATTTCTATTAAAAAATCATTTTTACATCTACTAATTTTTAACCTACCTATCACATTGCATCTATTCACTATTAATATATCCATCAATTTACTTTTATTCATAACATCCAGTGATATTTTTGAAAACTCAACACCAAAATACACTCCTTAAATCCCATAAAATACAAAATCTGCTATGTTTTGAGGGACAGAGGGAGTAATTCATAAGAAATTAATAATATACAACTTTTTAATGATTTTTAGTTTTGATTTTATCATTTCATTTATTTTGTTTTTCAAATTGTAAATTTATAATTTTTATTTTTAAATTTGTTTAACTTTTATTGAATATCTTTCAATAAAAATAAAAAAAATTAATTTTCCTAACAAATAAGTCTAAAAGCTACTTTTTGGCTTTTCAGATTTTGACTTTTCAGACCAAACAACTAAGTGAAAATGTCATTAGCCAAACAATGATTTTGATTGTTCGATTAGTCAAAAAAGCTAAACTCAGTCAAAGAATCCAAATGTCATCTGGAAAGCTATTTCTCAAACACAACCATATCTATGTCTTAACTTATTGATTTGTTATTATCAAATGCTTCGTAATAGTGGACACTGTAGACTATGAGGATTTGTACTAAACTACTAATTACGTAAACATATGGGGCTTGTTTGGAAAGAGATTAGCGTTAGCATTTTGGATAAAATTTTAACGGTGCACATTACTTTGAAAACGCTGTCCGTCGATAGCTTTTTCAAAACGCTAACGCTAATCGCTAACGTTATTCCCAAACAGGCCCATGGTTGGGTTATCTCTTTACATTTCACAATAGATGTTACAATACTTAGTGAGTCACAAAAAATGTCCTTGGATGTGATAGATAAAAATAGAATGTGATGAATAAATAAATAGTGAAAAAGTATGATGTGATAGGTAGGCTAAGATTTAGTAAAGATAAAAATGACTTTTTAATACTCCCTCCGTTCTAAAAAGCACTACATCTTTCAACACTTCCACTTTCATTTTTATTACTTTCAACAAAACGCTTCCACTTTTTGTTAAAAACCACTTTACCCTTACTTTTTCATACCCTACCTAATAATCTATTCATCACATCACATCACACTTTTTCTCTAATAATCTATTCATCACATCTTACTTTTACACATCACATCAAGGGCAAAATTAGAAGTCAATTACAATTTAACACTTCCTTATTTTTACACTTTGTCAAAGTAGGAGCTCTTTTTGAGAATGGAGGGAGTAGAAATGAGAAAAGTTTTTTGGGACGGATGAAAAAAGAAAAAAGAAAGGTTTTACGGAATGGAAGGAGTATTTTTTAAAAAGAAAAGTGAGAATTTAAACTTTAATTATATCAATTGTCTTTCACTTTTGATAATTAAATCAAATTGTCGTGCTTATTGTGAGACAAGAATAGAGTATGTTACGGCCAATAAAGTGAGTCAGCCTATGCGGCAAACTGCCGTGCTTATACGGGATGTTATACTAAGGCTTTACCTCTAATCTGATTGAATCTGATCTGAATTTTTGAAGTTATGATCTGATCTCATCTGATTGGATCTGATCTGATTTGATTGGATCTGATCTGATCTGATTGGGTGTGATCTGATCTGATTGGATCTGATCTGATCCGATTGAATATGATCTGATTTGATTGGATCTGATCTGATCTGGTGTAAATGAATTTAAATTTGATTTAAATTAAACTTAAAATTATTACAAAATTTAATAGTTTTAAAGTATTACAATTCATATATACATAAAAAAGTAAAATAAAAAAATCAGCTAATCATTAATATCTTTAAAAAAATTTAAAATATTAAACATCTTTTCAATATCACAACTTTTTTAATTTTTGTGAAAACTAAATAATCGGTATTAAAATAAACAAATATTAGAAAATATTGATGTTATTCTACAAAAATATCACATTGTATATGCATATTACATAATACTGGTAATATATTTCATGTTACAAATTAAAGATCATATAAAATTTTAAACACTAATATCAGAAAGTGGAGATAGTTAAAACAGTATTTAAGTGGGAACACATATAATATGGTAGAATTTCAAATTTTCATTCAGAAAAATTCATATTTTATAAATAAGTTTTGAAAACTAAGTTTTGTATAATTATTTTATAAACAAGTATTTTAAAATAAATCTTTTTAAAGTATGAAAAATATTATTTGCATTCGGTTCAAAAAAAACATTGCTTCCATGCATCATTTCTATCATACAAGCTAAACAATTATTTAAAATAATGGTTTGTAGTTGAAATATAATAATAATAATAATAATAATATAAAAAAATAATATTTAAAGTTATAACATTAATTAAGATTTAAGTGTGTGTAGTTTTAAATAAAGTAATGTGATTTAATCAAATAATAGTAATTATTATTTAATCGTTGAATCAAAAGTAGTTATTATCTTTTATAGTTTTTCTTGATTTGATATTATTGGATTTGATCTGGTCTGATCTGATTGGATCTGGTCTGATCTGATTGGATCTGATATGATCTGATTGGATCTGATCTGATCTGATTGAGTCTGATCTGATCTAATTGAGTCTGATCTGATCTGATTGAGTCTGATCTGATCTGATTGGATCTGATCTGATCTGATTTTAATCAGAATAAGTAATAAGTAGAAAAAATAAGTCGTGCAGAACGGACCCTAAGGAGGAAAAAAAACTGCGTAATCCGTAGGTTGTTTAACTTGGTATTACGTCGTCACTTCGTATAATATCATCCTCCCCTTAGCTTGCTGCGTGTGTGTGTGTGTGTGTGTGTGTGTATATATATATATATATATGGGATGGGATGATGTAGGCTGTGAAAAAAAATCACAATAACCAATTAAACCAATTCAATTAATTACCTGCTTAATTATTTGATTGGTTAAACAAATTAATTAAAAACGGCTCCAAAAGAACAAACCCCTCCGGCGGTGATGAAAATGGGAGAAGAAGAAAACACCATCGTCCTCCTCCTTGCAGCCGAGCCGCCGCCGCCGCCGCCGCCTCAAGGTATGTTGTATCCATGCAAATTATGCACTAAAACAGATTTCTTCATTTTCCTAACTTGCTTGTGACACTCGTTTCAACATTATTGAATATACTCCGATTATTCGGTGATGCAATCCGGTGAAATTATTCCGTGATTAATAATTTATTTCATGATGTAATTTAGGGAGTAGTTTATTTCATCAGTTATACAATACTCCGTATATGATAAAATTTGTTTAGCTATATATAGTTCTTACTTAAACTCCGTATTATCTATCCATTGATGTGTTTATTTCACACGTCTTGAAAATTTTATTATTTCATCACATTAATAATAATAATAATAATAATAATAATTCATAACAACAACAATTCGAATGAGAATAATATAAAAACACTCAAAAAAAAAATTAAAAGTTTTTTTAGATTTTCTAATTTTTTCAGATTTTTTTAATTTTTTCCAGTTCTTTCCCGTTTCTTTCAGTTTGTTTCAATTCCTTCTAGTTTCTTCCCGTTCCTATTGTGGGATTTAATCAATGTTTTGCTCCTATTTTGCTCCTTAACCCTTTAAATTTTATACCATTTTTCATTTAAAATAATTTAAAGATAACTTCGATCAAACATCGTAATGCGCAATGAGAAATTTATTTGTGGACGGAGGGACTATTAAAAAGATTATGTTTAGATGATTGTAGAGCCCTTGCAACTTTCAAAGCTTTTAAAATTCAATTATATTTAGATTAGACGTTGATCATGTTTACTTTCAATTTTATATGATAACTTTTGATGTTTCAATAAGTTAAGAAATTATGTATGAACAAAGATGTTAGTGCTAACAAATATGTCCCATCATTTCTTCAACTTTTGATTTTGATGCTCATATTATTGTGTATTGTATTAGAAAAATATGCGAAATATTTTGTTTACTCATTCAATATAGTAAGTGAAGAAAATTTGTAAAATTAAAAAAAAAACGTTTAACTTGTTAAAATGCTAGATAGTCCAAACTTGAGATTTTAAAAATTGTACGATGTATTTCAAATATACTCTTCCCGTCCCACAAAAAAGTTCCCATTTTGAATAGTATTTAGTCAAATATTTACACGCTTTGACTACAAATTGTGAGAAAGGTATATTAAATTAAAAAATAAATTTAATATAATTGGATTTATCTTAGAATCTAGTTTTGATATCTCAATTTTTTTTGGCATTTCTTTAATTAGATTATATTTAATTTTTGGTCAAAGTGTGTAACTGTTTGACCAAAAATACATCAAAATGAAAATTTTTTTGTGGGACGGAGAGAGTAATATAATTAGAGAATTTGTATGGGTGTAGATTTATTAAAAAATTGGACTAGTTAAACAACATTGAACTTAATTTATGTTATTAGTTCTCCCTATATTTTATTATCACATCCTAAATTGGGGAATTTTTTCTTTTCTTGTCTTGGAATGAAAAATTATAGGTTATCCCACTACGAAGTTTGAGGCAAGCAAGTCAAAGGAGCCCGAAGATCGGTAAAAGTCTAGCCACTATCATTAATCCATTTCTTTTGTCGTGTGATAAATTCTCAAAATAATCCTCTTCAATAGATTATTTTCTCAAATAAATCCTCAATAAATGTTAAATACCTACGCGTTCTTTTATAATTGAGATTTAATCCCTAGTTAAATAATTCTTCGTAAACAATATTAATTAAGGGATACTTTAATATTTCTTATTAGCTAATTTTAGAATAAGTTCTTAAAATGATCATTTCTAATGAATTGCTTTCCCAAATTTATTTTTTCTAATTAAATATTTGTATTAGATTCAAATTTTAAAACATTTTTTTATACATTTTTATTATATATGGATTATGCATGTGTAGTCAATGTATTGTTTTAATTTTACATTTAAGTGTATAGAAATGATCATCTTTAGAATATATACTTTAAATTAAATGATAGAAATACCAAAATACTCTTTAATTAATCATAATTTGAGTAACATTGTTTACGAAAGTTTAACTAAGAAATAAATATCAATGGTAAAGAACTCTTTTATTTATATCTTGACCGGATGGGATATTGGGATCCTATACACCTAAATCCTTATCCCCCTCCGCATTGGAGCAACAAAGAAAAAAAATGACAGTAAAAGAGAAAAGAAAGAAATTAAAAGGACACATAGCATTGCTTAAACTATGTGATAGATGTGTCATTTGACTCGGGTGTCTTCCCAAGCCCCTCCAACGTGGTGATTCTAGACCCGGGCTGTCATATGTGTGATACATCATAATATATACGGAGTATATGAGTTTCCTCAAAAGAAAAAAATATACTCCCTCCGTCCCATAAAGTCCTTTACGTTTCAAAAAAATCCTGTCCCTAAAAATTCTTCTCATTTTCATTAAAAACTACGTTTATTCCTTGCTTTTTCATACCCTACCTATCACATCATACTATTTTCCTAATAATCTACACATCACATCTTACTTTTACTCATCACATCAAGAGTATTTTTGGAAAGTCAACACAAAATTATCCATCCTTATTTTACCACTTTAGTCAAACCGTCTCTATCTTTATGGGACGTCAAACCATCCCTATCTTTATGGGACGGAGGGAGTATATGAGTAGTGTTTTTTAAAAACAAAATTAAATGATCATTCCCAGCAATTTTTAATTTGAAAATCATTCCTAGCAACTGAATGTACATTTCTTCATAAAAAACGAGCATAATTAAATTTGATAAAGGTGACTGAGGACCTGTTTGGGAATATCGTTAGAGATTAGCATTAGCGTTTTGGATAAAATTTTAACGGTAACGCTAAACATTATTCGTAGATATCCTTTTCAAAACGCTAATGTTATTCCCAAATAGACTCTCAAGAACAATAAGGAAAGAATCAAAATATGCGGGGAAAAAAATTGCAGCATGCAATACTTTATTTACGTGTAAACCTTCTCAACTGAAAGAAAAATTCACGATATTTTCCAATTGACTTTCCACTATAATATTAATTGAATTACTACATCATCAACAATACTACAAAAGTTCATATTTTTTTACTTTGCGAAAATTGTATCTGCTGTTTGAAAATTTCATTCGAAAGCGATCGAAAATTATTTTTCCCTAAAAATATTTTCGAATCATTTATATTACCAAATATAGAAAATTAGAATTGAAAGTTTTCAAGAAAGTATTCCACCCAACCAAGCGTACAAATATAAGTTGTTTTTTTGGGTTTCTATAATCTATAATCTCTATTTCATATATATATATATATATATATATATATATATATATATATATATATATATATATATATATATATATATATATATGTATATGTATATGTGTATATATATATATATGTGTATATATATATATATATATTGGTTCTGGTGAGAATGCAATCTTAAGAGAGAAATGAAAATAAATCTGGTGCTTTAGATTGTGAGATCCAAGGGTCAAGATTTCATCAAAATTAGTTGCACCAAAATGGTGCGAAAATGCATCACGTCGAAATGCTATATATATATATATATATATATATATATATATATATATATATATATATATATATATATATATATATAGGGGCGGACAGAAAATGTTTTTAGCACCACAGAGAGTATATACTTACATACATTGATACATCCATACATACATACACACATAGTGTATATTCGTTTTAATTTATACTCCGTATCACGGTATGTTTTTTGTAATATAGGTTTCATTATTATCCACCCACAATACAGACGATGACAAGGGAGAACTGTAAGGCAAAAGGGTGCTCCTTGGAAGAGTGCTGTACAGCTTGCTATGATGAGTGTGTTGAGTGCATCCTTTGTAGAAAATAAAGTGAAGATTTATCTGAGGTTTTCCTAAAATGGGTGAAACGAACTGCGTAATATGAAGCCTATGTTACCATACTGTTGTTGTTGTTGTTGTTGTTGTTGTTGTTGTTGTTGTTGTTGTTGTTGTTGTTGTTGTTGTTGTTGTTGTTGTTGTTGTTGTTGTTGTTGTTGTTGTTGTTGTTGTTGTTATTGCTACTATTACCATCATCATCATTATTAGAAAAAATTACCCAAGATAATCTCAACTTTACCCGGTCTTTCAAAAATAATCCCACTTTTCACTGTGATGCATAATAATTTCAACTTTATTGAAATTTGCCAGTTTTGGGTCGACGTTAAGTTTCTAACGGAGGGTTAACGGAAATGCCCGTTTTAGGCAACAAAATGAAAGTTTGGATTATTTTTGATGAATTTTTGTTTTTTAATTTTTTTTGAAATTTTTATTTAAATTTTTTGAATTACTTTCAACCTCCATTTCTTTTTCTTTTTTAAAGATTATTCTTACCTTAGAAAAAAATAGATATAAAAATAATGAAAATGAGAAAAATAACTAAACCATACAAAATTAATCAAATAAATAATGTAATCAATAGAGATTACACAGAAACTGGTAAGAAATAAAATAAATATATACGGAGCGGTGGGTTTTAACATTTTTACACACTATACGGAGTCTTAATGTACAACTTATTTTTTAAAAGAACAAGCCGTCCAGTAAAGTTGGAATTATTGTAGATAATTTTTTCTAAAAAATAAGAAGTGATATGTTAATACTTTGTATAATACGTAAAATATTAAAACCCACCCATATATTTTTATTTTACTTTTACCAATTTCAAGTTAGTTTCCATTGATTACCTTATTTATTTTATTATTTTTGTATCATTTTAGTTACATTTCTCATTTTTTCATTTTTTATATCTATTATTTTTATTTTTTAAACTAAGACTAATCTTTAAAAAAGGAAAAAGAAATGATGATGGAGGTAGAAAGTAATTTAAAAAAATTAAATGAAAAATTTAAAAAAATAAAAAAAATGAAAATTCATCAAAAATAATCCCAACTTTTATTTTGTTGCCTAAAACGGGCATTTCCGTTAACCCTTCGTTAGAAACTTAACGGCGACCCAAAACTGACAAATTTCGGTAAAGTTGGGATTATTATGCATCACAGTGAAAGGTGGGATTATTTTTGAAAGACCGGGTAAAGTTGGGATTATTTTGGGTAATTTTTCCTCATTATTATCATCATTATGATGATGATGATTATTACTATTATTATTACTATTATTATTACTATTATTATCATTACTCTTACTATTTTTATTTTTGTTAAAATGATTGTTACTATTATTATTATTATTACTATTATTATTATTGTTATTATTGTTGTTGTTGTTGTTGTTGTTGTTGTTGTTGTTGTTGTTGTTGTTGTTGTTGTTGTTGTTGTTGTTGTTGTTGTTGTTGTGCTTATTTTTATTTTTATTTTTATTTTTGTCTAGGGTTATTATCTTTATCTTAACTTTTTATCGTTTACCTACTTTGTATTGAGGTTAGGTGATTTTCTTAAACTGATAGGATTTTTTTATTTCTAACATTATTAGAGCATGTGTAACACCCTAAAAATAGGCCTATCAAAATTAATTAATTGATAATTAATTACTGAGAAGGACCCAAAAATAAGTGATTTATAAAATTTGTCAATAAATAATGAGAATTATATCGTTATGTAGAGTTTAACTATCTGATCCTAACGGTTCAACTGGATTAAGATTCGGAGAAAGTAAGACAAAAAAGTATTCCCCGACTGGAACCAAATTAGTCCCAATCAGGGACTTGCATTTGGAATCGAAGAAATCGCCGCTTCCTCCACCGAGGAGCCAAAACAGTACCAGTAGGAGGTCATCATTCATGTCTTCTTCCTCTCCTCTCCACTATATAAACCCCTCCAAGCTTCATCATTCTTCTTCCAAAAGATAGTTGTGAGTATAGAGAGTAAAGTAGTGCTATTCAGACACCTTCCCGTTGCCGGAGCAAGCCACAAACCTCGCCGGAAGTTTTGTCGGAAAATCTTCAAACCTCCATGTAGCTTCGAGGTAAGCCCGTAGATATATCTAGTGACTAGAATGTTCGTATAGATCGTTTCTACGTTCATAAACGGTCGTTTGGTTGAATTTTGTATTTGACATGCTTGAAGAACTAAGAATCATAAACCATGAAATTGTTGTTAAACTATGAATTAATGACACCAAAATAATCTATGAACTTTGGAGAACATTTCTATATAATTTAATTGAAGTTTGGTGACTAAAAATGATATTTTCAAAATTGGACCTGAAACGAAGAAGATAAACAGTGACCGAAAAGCCACTGTCTGGATCGATCCAAGTGCCTGGATTGATCCCCTGGGAGTGGTTTTTCATAGCATGGATCGATCCAGACGACTAGATCGATCCCCCGAGAATCTGATCCGAAAATTTATCTGAAAATGCTATTTTTGAGCTCTAAAATTCTATTTTTGATACCAATTGATTATGATCATTATAAAGATGATTTTTCCTCCATCGCATCTCCCTTAAATAAGCTGTTAAAGAAGGACGCTAAATTCCTACGGACTGGCGCGTGTCAACAGAGTTTGGAGCGACTCAAGAATTGAAGTGTTTGACGGAGGCACCAGTGCCGGTACATCCTATGACTTGAGTAGACTATACCGTTTTCAACGATGCATCTCACATTGGACTTAGCTGCGTGCTTATGCAGGAGAGTAAGGTTGTGGCCTACGCCTCTCGACAGTTGAAATCACATGAGGGTAACTACCCTACGCATGATTTGGAATTAGCGGCGGTTGTTTTTGCATTAAAGATTTGGCGCCATTACTTGTTTGGTGAGACTACTCACATCCACACCGACCACAAGAGTTTGAAGTATTTATTGAAACAAAAGAAGCTGAACTTAAGACAATTGAGACGCTTAGATTTGATTAAGGACTATGATTATTATATCGACTATCATTCGGGAAAGGCTAACCGTGGTGGCTGACACCTTGAGTCAGAAGACCATGGTAGAACTGCGACTTCAGCCTAATTTGGAAAGCAAGATTCGCGCAGCACAGAAAAAGGATAACTTTTGTGTGAAGACTTGTGAGCTTGTCTCTTACTCGTATGTTAATTTTTTTCAAACAAAAAAAAGATAATTTTAAAAACATTATAAAAAAATTAAAAAGAAATTTAGAAAAACTTGATTAATAAAAGAAACAATAAACGAAAAAAGGAGAAAAACCAAAAATAAACGAAAAATAAGAAATGAATACCAATGCCCCTGATGCTTTGGAAAATATGCACCAATTTCTCCTCTGAAAAAATGGTCAGAAAATAATTAGAGTAGGTATGAGTGCAACGTTTTGAAATCACAAAGACTTTAAAAATAAGTTTTGAAAATGTGGGATATTAGTATCTATTTTCTAAACCACTATGGCACTGGTGCTATTTGACCTATTATCCTATACTCTCTGGCAAAGTTTGAATCCAAGTCTGATTGCCGCTTGAGGCTGTTCGGCCTAGGGTCCGTCATCAAAATAATGTTTTGTCATTTTCTACACTATCTATTTTGTAAATTTCAATTAAATCATTTTTCATTGTATTTTTCTAAACACGACTTCATCTCCAATATGAAGTAGGAGAATAAATTTGACCTTAATTAATCGGCTTATATTTTTCATTTTTAAAATTGTTGGACCATTGGCCTACAACCCATAAAATGTCAGAGCCTGCACATCATGGACAAGGCAAATTTCTGATTGTTTCTCTCTTTTGACCTGAGTTTCCAAAGAAGGGAGATATAAGGGTTCATTTGGTACACGAAATTTACTGAATTAGAAATGAATTGAGAGTTGAAATTCTATGAAATTAATTTGGATGGAATTGAATTCTCCCAACTCCAATTCATTTTTGGCACTACTAAATCTAAATAGGATATGAATATATGATGGGAAGTATGTTTGGTGATAATACTCGGGTTTCATCTAAAACCTGCCTTATTTATCATCAGCGCCATCATCTGAGCTAGCCTCAGTTTCCTTTTCAAGACTGTCAAGTTGGACGCATTCGGCCCCGGAGCCGTGCACGAAACTACTGTTCTCGGAGTCGTGGCTCCGGCTCGACGGCGTCAAGTCTCCTCTCTTCACAATGTTAAACACAATGCTGCCATTGTGACTCCTTTCGGGCTGGAGGAAGTCACCTTCTGACACAACAACGCTTGAGCCCGCAATCAAAGGAATCCGGTGGTCCTTTTCTTCAAACTCGTTCGGGTCAACCGTTAATCCATTGTTCAACTGGAAACCAGCTGAACCCAAGTTCTGCACAAAGTCTATGAACTTATCTGCAGATGTTGTTCTCATCAGAGGGCCACCGGACCGTGTCCATGAATTAAGGTCAGCACATTCAGACTGGTCACTATCACTGCCGTCGTGGAGATTCTCGTGCGCCATGCAGTTCCAAGAAGGGATTCTTTTAGAGGCGTTGAATCTAGTGGCGGGGCCCGTTGAATAGGTGGAAGAAGAAGGGGCAGCGGCTCTGTATGCGCTCCTTTTCAGTCTGCGCATGTGGTTGAGCACGGCAACACACTCATCGAGAGCAAGCTCAATCCCACAGTTTGCTTTAATGGCTGAGAGCTTCTCCCAAGTGCACCTCCTCCCTTGATTTGCTGCCTTTTGTAGTTCCATTGTAGATGGATTTTGCAGTAGTTTTGAGTACTGTATAAACCAAAGGAATTTTGTAAGGGTTTATTAGAAAGAAGTGCATTATTACCCAATTCGACCCTTGGGTAAAAATGCACGGTTGGGGGAAGTAAGAAATACTCCCTCTGTCCCAAAAAGTCAGTCCCGTTTCGAAAAATTTGCGTCCCTTAAAATCCGTTCAATTTCTATTAAAAAACCACTTTTACCCCTTACTTTTTCACACCCTACCTATCACATCATACCTTTTTCTTAATAATCTATCCATCACATACTACTTTTACCCATCAAATCAAGGGTATTTTGGAAAGTCAACACAAAATTATCCCTCCTTGTTTTACCACTTTAGTCAAAATGTCCCAATCTTTTTGGGACGGAGGGAGTATAATACTCCCTCCGTCCCTAAATATTTGCCACACTTGTATTCCCGAGGCAAAATATCAAGTTTTTTCAATTCATTTTATTTACATATTGGTATAGAAATAAAAAATAAAATTTACATATAAAAAAACTACATGAAAAGTTCTTCGAAATAAGAGGTGTCAAGAATATTTTATTTTATCAAATAACCAATGAAAACGTAGAAATAAACAAATGTTGTAAATATTTTGGGACGGAGGGAGTATGTCATTTTGACTTAGCCCTTTATTTACCCGAAGCTAAAACATTGTCAAAAATGACTCTTTTAGCTCAATTGGCAATGAACGCCATTGACGAACAAAACCAACACTATTTTCCTTTTGGCTATGACTTGACATTTCAAGCATTGCTTGCCAACAAGTGTAGTGCTTCAATATTAGTCTTTCATTAGTTTTTTGTTATCCTGAATGTATGATTAGCCTTTGGACAAAACCTTCCTGTATGGTATTTTACACCTAATTTGGCGCATTAAGTAGCTGGAAAAAAAAACTTGCCATATTTCTGGGATTATAAACCTTTAGGCTACTTTGCTTTTACCTTTGAGTCCTTAAAAAGACGAAGGAAAATCATGTTTAATCCCAAGTTCTTAGAATTCTATATATCTCAGACCCAGTAAACAACTGTGAAACTCAACAAGTTTGAACCACTTTTTTTCGTTTTCCATCAAATTTTCTTTCTTTTCAAATGCCCTCTCTATTTTACTTCTTATATATCCTTCCCCTGCCATTTTTTGGATTTTTAAGTAGTTAGAACTTAGAAGCAAAGGAAGTTACGAAAAAACCTGAGCTAGAGTTGCAGGCATTACAACAGTAACATCCCCTTCCCAGTCTTGGGCAAAAAGCTTCGCTAATCCCCCGAGCGGGAACCCGAGTTCTAGTATCTGATTGCATCTGTGTTTCACCTCCATCTCAGTAAGCTTTGCAAGCTTTATACCCCCAAAAGAAAACCATTTTAAAACATCAATGTTCACTAAACTTTCACAATGGAATAAGATGGTGAATAATATAATGATACCTTGGCAGCAGAGCTACCTCCGTAAGCTCTCACAAACTCCTTGAGCCTGAGTAAGGGTGAAATATGAGGATTTGCCTGACTAACAATGTAATGATTTACATTGAAAAGCTCCTTTAACTGAGTCATAGGCAAATCAATCTCCAAGCTACCGTCCCTCCAACGACGAGAAGATGTGCCCTCCAACTCATCGGGTCCTAGTTGAAACGGAGGATGATAAGGAACAATATTTCCACTCCTGTCCTTTGCCATAAGTTCTTGGGCTTCAAAAAGGCCCGGAAAGGCGCACGAAGCTGTAACGGCACTCCACACAACAACATGTGGGGATGTCAAGTAATTCAAGCATCTCGCTGGCTCGTGCTTCCTTGGGGAGCAAACCGTAATGCTAAGAATCCGACCGGTCATATCATAAGCTTCTTGGAAGGTCAAATTATTAGTGAGATTCCTCAACATATATTGAAGGTGTCTGATCTCATGAACAACCCCAAAGGTCATCACCCTCTTAAAGACCGTAAATATTCCCCCCATCTGCTCGTAAAACTTCAACGAATACCATGAATCCTCGAAGAAGCTTTGGAGCTCAGGCCAAGACTTAGTAGCCACAATAGAACACATGATGGACCCTACACTTGAGCCGGCAATGATCCGTGGTAAAAGCTTGTGTTCAACCAATGTCTTCACCACGCCGATGTGGAATGACCCAAGAGAAGCACCCCCACTTAAGAGCAGAGCCGTTCTACCAAAGGCGTGTCTAGTTTCATGAACAAAAGCAAGCTTCTCCTCCAAAAGAACCTCATCTGAATCGGCATTACAAACCATTCTCAACTGAGTTGAGACCTCATCAATGTATTCTTGAATAAGCTTCGGGGTATGAAACCCACCCTTGTGAAGTTCTGGGTTGCACATGTTACCCAGATTTCTCACGAGGTCGGCTCTCATACAAAAGATAATATCTCTAAGGGAACCCTCTTGCCTACGGTGCCTAAGTTCTTGGAGTTTGAACCGAACAAGTTCTTCGTCGTAAAGATTTGACTCATTCATTTTAGGGATCTCTTCTTTATCAAACATCTTGGCTGCATGAGCCCATTCCTCATAAGTCAAAGCAGATCCCATTATGTTCCTCCAAAATCTCTTCCTACAAGCCACCTCCGCCTTCATTTTCACATTCGTGCATCGTTTCAGCAAGAAAGCCAAGAGAGCGACCAATGCCAGTACCCCTTGAGGGTTCCGCGGATGCAGCCAGGACATACATGGCTTCAAGCAGTAAGAAACTCCAGTCCTGAACTTAGACAAGTAGTATAACAACGACTGAAAAATCTGATGCCGCAGTTGTGAAATCGACTTGCAGGCTAATACTCTGAAAGCAATAGCCCTACCCAGGAGGGATGAAGGCCCAACTGATAAAAAATCTACACTGGCTTCACTGCTTATGTCCATATCTCAAGAGTACCCAGATCTGATTTTCTTAGATGAAGAATCATCAACGAAACGCGAGCTCATTCGAGGTCACATTGAAATCGCTAAATTAACTCAAAGAAGCTAAGAGCAATTTAACCTAAGAAGAACTAAAGTTCATCTGCAGGAGGGCTTACAGATGCTACGAATGAATCCTTGAAGCTTGTTGATCTTGACGAACTGAATCTGTTACCTGCTCAAATATATCGGAAAAAACATGTTTTTCAGAGAAGTTAAACGCGATCAAATGGGGGATCCAATTAGAAGGATATATTGAAATCAACCCCCAAAAATAGCTTGTGAAACTGGAAAACCCCGGGCAATAATTCGCAGGAAAAAAAAACTATTGCGTATAATTCTTCTGAGTACAACTGTACAAGTATATAAGGGCTGGCAATGAAAGAAACAGATAAGCATGGGAAGCCATTAATGGAGAATGGGAGTTGGGAAGAGGACATAATAGAATATGAGAGCTGTGGATAATAATACTGCTAAATATAAATATAGGTAGGTACTCTCAATCCGAAAATATTTTTCCTATTTGACTTTTCTGGATCAAAGTTTATAAATTTAACTTTGATATGTGATAAAAATACATTTTATTATGATATACGGAGTACTCCGTAACATTAATATCAATATACTCCTAATGAAATGCAGTTTTCAAATATTAATTTTTTATAAAATATAAATAAAAATACTAACGGTCAAAGTATAATTTGTATAATTTGTAGAAGGTAAAAAGTGAAATGGAAAATATTTCCTGCCACGAAGTATATCAGTGGCAGATGAAGATGGAGGATATGTTATGACCTCATCACCCGCCGTTTTGTAATCCCCTTTTCCCAAAACACATTAAGTTTACTATTTTGATTTTTTGATAGCTTTTATAGTTTTATTTGTTTCTTTTCTATTTTTATTAATTATTTGATAAAATAAAATGTTTTTATCACTATTGATTTTGTATAAAGTTATTGCTTATATGATCCCGGATCCACATTAATATTATAAACTTTCTCATATTTTTCATTGGCTTGCATATGAATTTTTTTTACAAAAGACTCACTTCTTTTACGCTATAAATGCACTAAGGTCCATAAAGTTAGCGTGGACCTTAAGCTTCCGAAAGAATTTGTCTTTTGTAGAATTTTAGTGTAGTTTTTAAATGTATAAATTACATTTTTTATTTTTATATCAATGAATAATAAATTAAATTTAACAAGCATAGGATTTTGCACATTTTTAAATTATGTAATCTAACTTGGGACGAAGAAAGTATCTCTAAGCTCGTCAAATTCATCACCCCCTACATAAAAAAATTGACAAAAAATGTCAAAATCTAAAAAGATTTTTAAATTTTTTCTAGTTTGTAAGCCTTTGTTCTTATTTGATAAAATTATATAGTTATGTCACATATACTTTCTTATATATTTTGATATAATTTTTAAATATATAATTTTTACTTTTAAATTCCATGATAACTTTTAATAAATTGTTATGAAAAATAACTTAAGGCAAACATCGTTAAAAGTTATAGAACCTGGGCCTAAAGTAGACTAGGTAAGGAGAGTAATTAAACGAGCAGAGTGCCCTTCAAATCCCAAGTGTGTGTATGAGTGTGGATATGATCGTATGAGTTATTGTGATTATGATTTTGATCCTCTTCTTGAAGTCAGCGGGAGGCATTTATACAAGTTATATGTTCTTAACTATTTGTCATCTAGTTGTTTGTCCACGACAAGGCCCATGTCAGGTCCATGCGGCAGACTCATGGCAATGGTATAAGGAATATATGTACTAATACATGCATTATTATACATAGTACATGGACATCACACACAAGGGATGCTCTTCAGTGGGCCTATTGATCCGGACAGGACGGAGAGAATCTCATGTCTTTTCTTTCAAATGAGCTTAAGTCCTAAGCCCACACGGTAAAGTGCGCGCTGCCAGAGGCCGAGTATGTATTTCTAGCGACAAGCGATGCCCCATGGAAGGTAGGCCGAGTCCGACTTCGTGATCTTGGCGGGGTCCGAGTCTGACTGCATGGCTACGATATCTGGTTTGGGAGGGGTGTCCTCAATCAGTTGAGTCGAGTCTTGACGATGCCGAGTGTAATTCGGGTGTATGTTCGGATTCTCGCAAGCTTAATGGGCTTGTTGGGCCTTTTAATTCATTTGGGCCGGATACCCCCCAATCCAGGGCATCCATCAATCGTAAACTAAAATAAGAAGTTAGTTTTAAGACGGATGGAAATGTATATTACAAGTTTATTAAATTTTAACGCGGGCCCGTTTAGTAAGGAAGAAATCATTCAGGGGCTTTGTGTACGTACATGGTAATCCAAGTTGTCGGATGCCACCCACAACTATTCTAGTCTCGTTATGAGACCAAGGTTTGCACGAATCGTCACCCTTGTGGTATGATTTCGGAGCGCAAGGGGTCCTTGCATTGCTAACTCATGCATCATCTCATTCATTTTGTTCCATCATCATGAACAAACATCTTGATTTTATGTATGAATATGGGCGACTCAGATTTGTGTAAAACATATTGCACTTAATATCCAACATCGTTGATGACAAGGCCAATGTATTAATTATTGGATAACTTTTCAAAATGAATCTCGTTCACATTTATGCGTGTACCTTGTATCTTGTGCTATTTATTATGCAACTATGAAAACTATTTGACCAATGTGATGCATGGTATTTAAGTATAAATATGTTATCGATCTCTCATGCCACTCAGCTTTATGATGAGCGTACGTGTAGTCTTTTTGTCTACACGTAGGTTAAAGCACAGATTACGTGAACCACCCGAGAGACGAAGAGACGATAGGAATGCAGGTTAACATGCATGACTTTCACAAGTATTGCATTTGAAGTTTTGGCCTTGACTCGCATTATTGTATTTGTATTATTTAAGTCTTCCGCTATCTCCGACATTTTGTAAAGAATCGATATGAATTCGACGATTTTCACTTAAGTTGTACTTGAAGTTTTTTTATGACTTTGATTTAATGGTTTAAAAAATGTTTGAAAAATATAGCTCCCGTTTCATCTTAATTCATATAATTCCAGGTTATATGAATTGAGGTGTTACAGGATCGGCGACGACTATTAGGCACGTGCACAATTTTTTAGAGAGAAAAAGAAGGATTAGGGATGACAAGATCATGATATGTGGTGGTCGACCGTCGATGATGAAAACCGACAATGACATATGATAGTAAAACAAAGAGGCTAGATTTTTGAGAAGAGAGACTTTAGCTTTGATTGAATAAAGAACTAAGTGTATTATTCAACGAAATTGGAATGCATGATATGTCAGAGTATATATAGAAGGGAATAGTACCCCAACTAAGACTATGAATCAATAATAGAAACTGACTAAAATACAAAGACTACCACAATAGAGATAATTATTACTATTATGTAACATTATATTTTCTCGGTCACATTAGAATATTTTAAAAATAAAATTTGTATATTTAAAAAACTATATCAAATACTCTATAAATAAAAATGTGGTATAATTATTTTGTTTAACAAATGATTTAAAAAAATAAGAACAAAGTTTGACTCATGAATAGTACGGAGTATTTTTTTTACTTTAGTTTTGGGGTAAAGATTACGCTAAGACATTTTGATGAAGAGTAGGCTTGAATGTTGAATGGTAAACTAAATAAGCTTAAGGAAAAATAAGAGTGAAAAAATCTTGTTTTGGAAATTTACATATTACTTTCTCTGATCTTATCCTCCATTTTTCACCTTACCCTCCCATATCCAGAGTTTTAAAAATTGGAGGATAGATAGGGTCTTGTTTGGGAAGAACGTTTTCAATTAGTGTTAATGTTTTGGATAAAATACTAACGGTATGGATTCATTCAGAAAACGCTAACGCTAAAAATTACCGCCGAATAACCTTTTTAAAATGCTAACACTAATCTCTAAAGCAGATGCCAAACGGGGCCGAGGGGTGTAATTGATTAATGTTACTATTCTCATCCTTATAATATCATCTTCATGAGTGATGAATGGCGGGGATGGATTCTTACCACTTTTATTCCTACCAATTCTTAACCTACATATCACATCATACCTTTTACTAATAATCTACATATCACATCCTACCTAGTTACCAATGACATCAAAAGTATTTTTGAAAAATCAACACAAAAATATTCTTTCCTTAAATTTTCTAAAAGTCAAAACGAGAACATCTTTTTGGCACAAAAGAAATATATTTTTACTCCTTTGTCTCTTAAAACTTTATTTTTTCACATTTAATGTGTCTTAAAAAATCTCCACTTTTACCCTCTATTAATTCTTATCATATCTATCACATCATATATATTCACTTAATATATTATTCACATCAAGGCTATTTTTGAAAAATCAACACAAAAAATATAAATTATTTAAATCTATGAAAAATAGAAAATCACCCTAACTAGGAGTAAAAGATAGAGAAAGTAGTCAAATATGAATTCCATATTTTTACCCCAAAATTTGAGTTCGCACTGTAGTATTCACAATGCTTTTTGGTAATGTAAATAGTCATTAGTGACATTGTAAATGCATTTTAACTCTTATTTCAGCAAAAAAATATGAAACTTCTATTTTGATATATTTTCAATATTTTTACTAAACTTTAATATTTTTTCATGAAAAAATCAAAAGAAGAAAAATTTTAAACTATGGAGAAAGTATTTTTTTCAAAAAAAGAAAAGAGAAGAAAATCAAAATTCCAAAGTCAAAAAGAGTACTCGTTATGTGGAAGAGTGGTGGGAATGGCGCTTGAATCAAACATCTCCATGGAGAAGACTTTTTGGCAGGAGAAACCAAAGATCAATAATCTGAAGCTTTAATTCCCCCATTAATGTGCTTTGCTTTGCTCCATAGGATCCCTTCCTCAAAGCCCTTCAAATGCCGGATTCGTCTCCTCATTTCATTAAGGCCACCGCCTGCTTTGATGCAAAGAAAGAAACCTCTCTGGTATTTCAATGAATTAATTTCTTAACAAGACTTTTGAATTTTGATGATTTGAACTAGTAGCCAATCAATTACAGAATAGTAGATTTGAATATTTTAGTGTATTTTTTGACCTGATTCACAAATCTGTGCTAGGTAATAGAACAAGATAATGGGCTGTCTTCTTCATCATCATCGTCTTCTTCTTCTCCAATCAGCACCAGAATCAAGAACCAGGAAGGAACCAGAAAAACAACCAAGAATCTGGGGAGCACAAGATCATTGATGACGAATCCTGATTCTGGGTCTTGTTTGGATGATGGCATTGATCAGACCCAAAGCCAGGCTAGTTCTCAGCCAAGCTTGTGCTCCAGAGCTGTGAGACTTAGTGCCAAATCCAAGAAGTGTTCTTTGAGGGTTAAGTCAACTTGTGCATCTACCATCAAGAATTCAAAGTTCCCTGGAATGTGTCACAGGGAAAGACTATTGCCTAACAATGTCTGTTCATACCGCCACTGCTCTCTCAACAAGAACCCGTCTCTTCGTCCCGAGCCAGATAACTTCGGTACCAGAAAGAGACTGTCGAAAAACCCAGATGGAAAATTGGGAATGAAGAACCGGGCACGAGTTCAAGACTCTGAATCTGGTTCGTCGAACACGTGGAACCTGGTTGGCCCAAACCAATTGGCTGCTGTACAAGAAAGTTCAGATTCTTGCAAACCAGAAGTGGCAAATGGTGAGAATCAGCAGGGGATTGAAGTCAAGAAGCTCACAGCTGTTAAGATTGTGCAAGAAGCGATAGAGAAGATTCTCCTTCCTGAAGTTTCGGATCAGCCATCAGACAGCCAACAAATGAGAAGTGATCAAACCACTCCGGACCAAGAAACATTGGAAAACAACAATGAAAACAATGGTATGTTCTGGACTACGTCATAAGACACTTGGATTGAAAACAACAATGAAAACATTGGAAAACAACAATGAAAATTTATCCCTGAAGATAAATTTTCTGGAATTTAGGATATTCTGGACTACGACATAGGACACTTGGATTGAATTATATTAAAAGGTTGAATCGATTACTTAGTTCAACTCAAGAGCAAAAATACCCATTGTTTTTCTTTTCAAAATTCTGATGTGGGACGCTTAACAAGACCCATTTAAACAAGCCATTTAGGTTCATTCTATGGTTTGTGGGTGCCCATCCACTCATATATATTTCTGTTTCATATCCTACAGATTTAGAGTCAATCCCACAAGAAGTAGGATCTGGGAGTGGCGAGTGTACGCAGACCTTACCCCTACTTGAAAGTAGAGAGAACGAAATCCCCCCAGAAGCAAACGACACGATTTACCAGGACAAGAAAGTGGCTACTGAGGAGGAGCCAAAGCACATCAGCATGTGGCATATGATATCTCAGCACGTACTCTCAGGCGTGATATCAAAAGCCGGGACCGGGCTGCTTGAGGGAACTGATGATGAGGAAGAAGAAGATGTTCATACCATTAGAGAAACCGAAACTCGCCGAGACTTCAGTAGGGACGATGCCATTGGAGTTGTGAAGGAGGTAGTAAACGAGATCCTCATAACAGACATTCAAGAGAATTCTCCCCATACACAATCTAGAGATGATAGCATTGTGAACGAAGATGGAAAGAAACAAGCGTCTATTCTTGCAAAGTCGAGTAATTGGAGCAAGGTGAAGAAACTTGTCTTCCTCAAGAGATCCATTGCGGCTCTCCAAAATGGCAAGAAGCCCGAGAAGGTCAATCTGAGGCATCAAATGATGGATGAGAGGAAGAAGGCAGAGAAATGGATGCTTGATTATGCACTCCAAAACATTGTCACTAAACTAACCCCATCTCGTAAAAGAAGGGTGGCAATGCTCGTCGAAGCATTCGAAGCAGTCGTTCCATTTCCTCAAGCATGAACTCAGCATTGGTAATTCCCATCATTAGCATACACAGATTCATTTGATTTTGATTGCATTCTGAAAGCTAACTCTGCAGTTTTTTACATTGCATGATTAACGGAGTGTTGCGTTTGTTTTAGATTCCGAAAAAGATCACTTGGTAATTTTGCTTCAAGAATATGAGTTTCGAAAAGCAATCGACTACTTGGTTTTCCAGAGTTGATTTTCAGAACAGAATTATCCACAAAAAAAAGAAGGTTAGCCAAATGAGCCCTTGAAGTTAATCAATCAATATATTAACAGCTGGTAAAAGTTGTTGAAAGATCAAGCATTTGTTTCTAATCATCAAGAGGTGGGCATTTTCAAGAAAAGCATTAAGAGCTCTAAGGTTGGAAGATAGAATGGCATTGAGGCTGTCTCTTTTGTATTTACATATATGGTTTTCAATACTAGTGTATATTGTGACTTCTACGTACTCTGCATATTATTACTCCACTCCTTCCAAAAAAAAATCTTTCGTTATTCACAAAATTAATTAAGCTATATCTTCTTTGCCAAAAATCTTGTGATCGAACTCTCAATGCTATTACCGTGGCTCAAGGTTATAGGATCGAAACCCCGGTGAGACATTGATGCTCAGAAAGTATAATAGAGTTAGTAGTAGTATTAAAAAATTACACTAGTATTTTCATTGATCGTTCGTTCAAATGGAAGTCAAGTTATCACTTCGTTTGCAAATCTTTTAATATAGCTTTTAAAAATATTATTTTTAAAATTTACCAATTTTAAAATGTACAAAAAACAACTTATCATATAGTAGATCGAAACTCGCTTTATTTTAGAATGGATGAAGTATTTTAAATAGCAACCAAAGCACACTAAACAAGTTCTAGTAGGCGTTATTTGAAATTCGATCATGGAATCTCACATTGGCAGAATAAGAAACTTTAAACAATCCTAATTCCTAAATTAAAATGAATTTTTTTTAAAAAAAAATTGGCTACTCCAAATTTGAGACACTCAATACCTTCACAGACATGAAAGACACAGAAGTATGTGATTTCTGTAAAAGTATTAGCGTAAAAAATGTGTCAAACTTAGGGTCCCTTCGAATTTGGTTCAATTTTTTTTTATAGCTTTTTATAGTTCTTTTTCTTTTTTTCTAATATTCTGGTTCTTCTTTACACTCATTCTAGTTTCTTATAATTCCTTCAATTTTTTTCAATTACCTCATTTTTTTCTAACTCACGCTTGTTTCATTCGGTTTCTTTCAATATTGACTAAAAAAATCCGTTAAGTGTTTTTTTGGAAAAATAACTAAAATAAGAGTAAAACATGTGGAAAAAACCAAAATAGGACCTTTTATGTTTTGTTTTATATAATATGACATATAGTGCCAATAATCTAAAATGTCAATATATGATCTCATATTTTCACAGTGTAGTAGTTCTTCTTTCTATTTTGGTATAAAAACATGTCACTCCTAGTTTGGAGATAAGATATATCATACTCCCTCTGTTTCATAAAACGATTCTTATTTTGACTTTTATGAGAAATAAGGAGTGTATATTTGTGGTTAAATTTCTAAATTTGTCATTGATGTGATTGGATAGATTTTTAGTGAAAAAGTATGATGTGATAGATATGGTAAGAAAAAATAGGGATAAAAGTGTTTTTTTAATAAAAAGTGAGTGTTTTGGGGAAAACCAAAAAAATGAAAGAGGATATGTTTTTAAAAACGGAAGGAGTATATCTTTTGCTTCTATTTTAGAGTGATTTCTTGTGTAATTTTCATATTATTCTTATTACAATTATTATTATTATTATTATTGTTATATTTAATTATGAGTATTATTATTATTATTACTACTACTAGTACTTCACCAACACCACCAATGTTCTGATTATTTACTAATTTCTTTTGTAATTTTGCAATATTTCATAATTATATACTCCGAATTTTTTCCGTGACCTTGTTTGACTGAAATTATTTGGGCTCACGTGGTTGTAATTCCGTACGGGGAAGGCTAAATTCATACAAATTTGTTATTCGTAAAAGAAAGTTTTGAACACTAATAATTCTATTATAATATAATATCTATTCATACATTTTCTCAGTCCATTAAGCACGTAGAGTTATTACCCTCACTAGGGATCAAACTTGTGACCTCTCATAATAGAGAATCACCAACGTGCCGCTAAACCACAAGGTCTTTGCGTAAATATATTGTTTAATTATTTTTTAATTATTTGAGACTAATTTATTTCTCCGTTCATCCAAAAAACTTTTTTGGTTTTGACTTTTAAATGACTTAAAGAAATTGTATTTTGGTATTATCTTTCCGAAAATATCTTTAGATGTGATGGGTAAAGTAGGATATGAATATGTAATGTATAGGAAACTAGTAAATAGATGTGATGTGATATGAAGGTTAAAAATTAATATGGTAAAAGTGATTTTTTAATAGAAATGAAAACAGTTAAACACCGATAAAAAAAGAAAAGAGAAAAGTAGTGTAAGACTGAGGGAATATTATAATGGGGATGTATCAATGTATGGCACATTTGTGAATTTTGTATTTTTAGTTTGTAATTCCAAGAAGGGTAAAATATCCCTTTAGTCCCAACAAAATAGATGTGTTTTTGTTTTGGTCCCTATTATTTGTTTAGTTAATTCATCATTAAAGTTTATTCTTTTTTCATTTAGAGCTTGTTCTTTAGTACTGGAAAAAAAGAGTTGGATGTTAGAAGAAACTAGAAGAAACTGGAAAAATAGGAAGACTAGAAAGATCTGGAAAGAACTAGAAAAATTCAAAAAAACTTTAAAAAAATTTATTTTAGTGTATTTTTATATTATACGCATTCTAATTCTTGTTATTATAAATTAGTATTATTATTATCATCATCATCATCATCATGTTATCTTAATGATTGCTTTTAAAATAAAAAAACATTGTTATTTTTCATACACAAAAAAACTAATTTTACAATAAAAAAAATTATAATATAAAGTTAGCATAAATATCAAAATGTTAAATTTTAAAAAGTTATTTTGGTTACGTTTCACCTTAATTTATTTATACAGTATTTATTATTTATAAAATAATATATTTGTGATTATACTTTATATATTATAAGATTTTGTTTTAAATATCAGACATGTCACATAATGTAATCAAACATATTTTTCTTTCATGATTGACATTTTATTTTCATTGTAACTCCTATTTTTGGAATAAAGATATACTCCCTCCGTTCCATAAAACCTTTCTCCTTTCTTTTTTCATCCGTCCCATAAAACACTTCTTATTTCTATTAAAAAGTCACTTTTACCCCTTACTTTTTCATACCCTACCTATCACATCATACCTTTCTACTAATAATCTACCCATCAAATCCTACTTTTACTCATCACATCAAAGGACATTTTTGGAAATTCAATACCAAAATACACTCCCTTAAATCTCTTCAAAAAGCAAAACATCACATGTTTCATGGGACAGAGGGAGTAGAATTTTTTGTGTTTTTATATGTTTTACTCCTATTTTAGTCTTTTTCTCTAAACTATTTTGACTTTCAAATTTTTTTATAAAAATTAGAAAAATGAAAAAAAATTAAATTTTGAAGTAAATAAAAACTAAAAAATGAGTAATAAAGGGAAAGGTGATGAGTCTTATACAAATTTAGATAAATAAAACATTCTATGTAGCTATTGTATTTATAATTTTTTTAATATAGTTTAAAATATTGATATTTTTCTATTTTATCATGTAGATTAATATACAAAAAATTGCCTTATTCATATTTAAAAGTTGAAAAAAAAATAACGAATGTGAGTTGTAAAAATAATGAGATGAAAAAAATAATTGGGAGGTCACATGTTTGAACTAAAGTGAAAACCGAGTTACTCCCTCCGTCTATTTTAGATTTTTTAAATTGATTTTCTGTGGTTTTTAAAAAGGTTTTAAAAAGATGGAAGTTTAGTAAAATATTTTTAATGAAAGTATCAAGTATATTAAATGAAGTGTGTGAGGTGTAATGAATAAAATTAATTAAAGTAATTGCGATATTTTAAATCTTAAAAAAGATAATGGAAGGTTTTTCCCAGAGAAAGAAGAAAGAAATTTAGAAAGATCTATGACAAAGAGAAGGAATAATATCGTTAAAAAAATCATGACCCCATACCATCAATATAACCAAGGGATTTGTTAGGGGTACTCCGAGTTAGTGTACTCCAGGTGTACACCAGCTTCTCACAGACACATACAAACACTCTCTGTCTGTGTTTGACAGAGACAACAGGTATGTGTATATAACCTAGAAGAATATACCAACTTGGAATACTTCTAGTTTTTCGTGTAACCAAACATGTCCTAAAAGATTCTAGAACTAAACCCTACCTTATGTACCAGTCTTCTAGAAAGGGGCACATCCTAATTCAACTTTCTAAATAAACCTATTCGGTCAACGAAAAGAAACAAACATTAACTACGTAACGTAACGCCCAAGCCAAAAATCTTCCTCGTATAAATACCCCCGACCTATTTTATTTCTTAATTCCCGTCCAAGAATCACTGCAATAATACAATGGCCGGTCTTCAATACAACTTCTTCCCCACCGATTTCTACTACCCTCTTCCTGCTAAGCCGCCGCCCAAGACAGCCGCCACCGTTCCGCCGCAAGTCATCACGAGTCCAGCGGTTGCCGCCGCCGACCAGGAGGAGCCCGACAGCACCTCCTCGGTCCGGCGTGGTCGCGTCCGCCGAAACAAGGTCCTCAGGGCGACTGCACCGCCGCAGCGGTGCCTCCCGGTCAAAAAGGAAAATGTAATAGAAGGGTGAGAGCCTGAGAGGAGATGGTGGAATATTAATCGAATCGAAGATTTCTGATTATTTTGGTCTCTGTTTTTGGATTGCAATTTTTGTTTTTTTTATAGATAATTATTGTATACGAACTTTCAACATTCTTTCACCGGTGGTCTAATAGGCGGTTTCTAAGTTACCTTCAAATCATTTGGGATCAAATTATAACTTTATAAATTTAAATATTATGATTTTGACTTTTTTTTTCCTCTCTTAGTTTCCACCCATTGCTTCATCTTCTTCAAGACCCCCCACCCTCCCCCTCCATTTTTTTCTCTTCCTCTTCCAGCCCCACCCCACCAGTACCATTTTTTCTCTTCTTCCCTTCTTCTTCTACCTCCCCCCACCCCCAAGCACCCATTTTTTTCATTCTTTTTTCTTCTTCTTCTTTCCTTCTTCTTGAAGAAGATGAAGAAATAATAATAATAATAATAATAATAAAACGCA